GGTTTAAACCAACCAATCAGAGTGCTCTGTGTCATTTTACACAGCTCTGGAAAGTTCTTTGGAATTTTCCCACGCTGTGTAAAATGACACAGAGCACTCTGATTGGATGGCTTGAAATACATCCAATCACAGTGCTCTGTGTCATTTTACACAATGTGGGAATGTGCTTTGGAATTTTCCCACGCTGTGTAAAATGACAAAGAGCACTCTGATTGGCTTAAGCCCCCTATGAAACAAATATTCTGATTAAACAGTTTCCTATGTTGATCATTTCACTTTTAGAACATGGCTCCACTGGTTTCTACCCTTTTGTAAATTTCACCTTTAATGCATACTCGTGACTCACAGCAATATGATTTGTGAGTGTACACACCTAATTTACCTAAAACATAACTGCAAAGGTTTAATAGTTATTATTCTTCGTGTATAATAAATAGACATTGGTCGTTTTACCATTTCTGTGCTTTATAGATGGCGGACATGTTGACGCTGCTTGTGTAATTGTACGGGTGTTAGAAATGTTTCTGTTTTTGCTAATTCAGTAAGAATATGTTATAAGGTGGTCAGCTATGTTTATTCCATATTGAGAATGTAATGTATTTAAATCTATTTCACTAGCGTGTCTTCTTCACTTTGATGGATAGATACTCTAAATGTCAAACTCGAACCGCCTCCCAATTCTGTGATTGTCATATGCGTGACAAAATGTTAGATTGTAAAAGCCACATTGCTACCAAAACAACAACAAAAAAAAAAACATAAGGCCCCTTGCAGCCCTGTTGTCTGTATATAACTGGAATATACAGCTCTCTTAGTCTGGTAGCCTGTATTTGAATATATAGATTTCAACCTTTGTATATGAATGTATACATTACACAGATTCAGCCATGTGGCCTGTATATTATTATTATAATTATTTTTAAATCGCCAACAAAATCCTGTCACTCTGTACAATAGGTGGACTAACAGACAAGAACTTGTAAGCAGACAAAGTGGACGCACAACAGAGGGGATGAGGGCCCTGCTCAAATGAGCTTACATGCTAGAGGGAGTGGGATATAGTGACACAAAAAGTAAGGTTAGGGTAGGTAAGTAGGTTGTTAGAAAACATTTCAATGAGGGCTTAGTGTTTTTTTTTTTTTTTTTTAAATCTATTAATTATACAGCTTTAGGAACTCTGTGTGTGGCCTGTATATGAATGTATAGGTTATACAGCTCACTTGGCTCTGTGGCCTGTGTTTCAATGTATAACTAATACATCTCTCTCAGCTGTTGCATATATTTCGGTGTATATATTACACAGCTCTCAGCCTGTGGTGTGCCGCACTGCTTTGAGCTATTTCCTTAATGTAACTCATTTTGGCCTCAGATCTATTAGTCTGTGCAAAAGATTACATTATGTTCTGTCTATACCTGCAGAGCTACCCCAGTCTAACTGGGGTTGCAGAACATTTCCTGTGTGTGTGTGCACAAACGTTCTGCAACTTAGGCTTGTTGTTTCCTATTTTAAAAAGAATTGTGTTTCTGTGCGTCTGCAGATCGTTGTATGTGTGAAATTCCATAGAGACATCTTATGTGAGCTGAACAAGGAGTGTTGGCCTGTTGTGACAGCATGACTGAGCAGGACAGCTGAGAGTTAAACAGCAAGCTGTACTATAAAGGGAACTCCCTGTGTATCCGGGGAAGCCTCCCCCACCCCCTCCTTCTCTACTTGTCTTGTATCACAGAGCACAGACCTTATATAACAGACACAATGTATTATTCTATGCCAGGGGAACACGTAGGGCTCCCTTTTTACAAAGGAAATGCAAACAAATGATGCTTGATACGTGTGCTGTATGAAAGCCGCATTGTTTGTGTGTATCTGTGTATGCAATCAATGTCCCTATGTGCTATGTTGTGTTTAAATTTTATTTTTAACACTTTCATTGCCATAGAATGCTTAATGTTTTGGCAATACGTCTGCCTAACATAATGAATACACCCTGTATCACTGGATAAATGTGCAATAAACCCCCGTATTAGGGGGTACCGGTAAGCCTCCTCTGGCCGCATCTCCCATTATATAAAGATATCCTAAATTCTGGAAGATATGAGTTGCAATTCTACAAAATAGCTATAGCTACAGGCTGCCACCCGCTTCCATCCAGGGCCTTGACCCACCGAAAGTAGCCTAAATCCAAAGGCCACCATCCATGCTTGGTCACAAGTCTGGCTTTTTTTCCATGAGGTGTTTTTCTGTTATTGTTTTTTAAAAAGCGCCAACAAATGCTGCAGCGCTGTACAATAGGTGGACTAACAAACAAATAGTTGAAACAAGGCATGTTACATGTACATAAACAGAAGGTGCTGAGGGCCCTGCTCAAACAAGCTTACATTCTAAGAGTAGTGGGATAAAATTAAATAAAAGGTGGGGGTACAATGTATGTCGTTGCCTGAATAAAGAGCTTACATTAAGGGCTTAGTTTTTTTAGATAATGCAGTTGCAGCATAGAAGGTGGGTTAGTGAGGTGTGGGGTGGGAAAGCTGTTAAGAGTTTAATTAATATGCCTGCTTGAAGAAGTGCGTTTTTAATGATGTTTTTGCGTTCTACTATTCGAATGTGTTCACAGTACTGTGTGCATTGTGTTCCATTGTGTGTGTCTGTGGCCAGGAGGGGAAGTCACTGCTGAACAAACAGACCCCGAGGAGACAGCACGGAAACTATTTTAATAATGTAAACACAGAGAAAGGAGGGAGATCCCTGCCTCCGGGCAGAGAGGGAGGAGGTGTAAAACCCGCAGATGACAGGAGAGAGATTCCTGTATGAGGAGGAGAGAGATTTTTGAGCCTGATATAGAGGATAAAAGAAAGAGAGAGATTCTTGCTTGAAGTCAAGACATGAAAATACATGGAAAGAAGGCAAGGCCGCTCACCGCTGAGGGATTAAGTGATAGAACAAGATTAGTATCTGTAAAGCCCCAACATAGTCCATGGTGCAGTACAGTGTGTAACCGTTCTTGCATGTCCGTCCTGTTTTCCCAAAATTACACTCATGTTTCAGATATATGTTTTTATTGTGCCAGAAGATTCCATAACCCCGTCTGAAAATGTGAAGGGTGCCTATTGGCCTAGTTAGTCATTCTGCGTTTATTCGTACATCTTTGTGTAATGCTAAATCTTAACTGCTTTCAGTCATTTCAACTTGCAGATGAGACTGGTTTCAGTCAGGTACCCTCTAAATTGAATGCCCATCAACATTAGCAGTCAGGAAGTACGGGGCTACTCTGTGTGACTTCTCTCAGTAAAGGAATTATTATAGGGACGAGAGAATGAAAAACATGGCAACTACAATACTAACCTGACAGACGCTACTACGTTATAATTACATTTCTAGAAGGGGATATGAAAAAAGTATAAAAGTGCTTTGTTGACTTATTAATTGTAGGTATTTGTTCACTAAAAACCAAAGTGCAGTGAATTTAAAACAGAAGTTTAGGCTAAAATAAGCAAGCTGGGACTTAGCTGAGGAGGGTAGTGTTTTCAAATCAGCTATTCCCCATTGTACAGCGCTACGGAATATGCTGGCGCTATATAAATAATAATAATAATAATACATTTAGCATTTTGGTTTCAGGTTTAATAGTTTGGTGTTTAGTAAATGACCCCTCCCGCCCTGCTCTTTACATATCATATCATATAACTTTACAGTGGCTTTGCGTTCAGCCAAATGGATGAATTCCTGGGCGTTATCTTAATATGTTTGGCTAAGTTTATGTTGCCAAATTAACCCTTTTATGACTTGGAATAATGTCTACAGTGGTACATTGCAAATCTCTTCACCGCCAGCAGTTCAAGATTTAGGAAAGAAGATTGGTATAAAATTAGAAATTATCTTTTCAGGATCACCCATATGTACCTAAATCCAATGTTACAAAGACATCTCCATTTTGGGTTTTTGTCCTTGTAGTCGTTAAGTTGAAACAGCATTTGTTTACTTTTCAGAAGCGTTTCATGGAGGGGGGGTTCCATCGGAAACTTCATGGTTCTATATAAACTCTTGTGGCGTGCAACAAACCCTGATATTAGATCAGCAAAAATGAATGCTAGATTATAAGGACATGCTGTGATTGTTAGATAATGCTGAGGGGAAAATAAGACAAATTCTTTGCAATGCAAAAGCAATATTCTCTTTGTCAGAGTACTCTAGTTTCATCATAAAGTTCCTTTTACTTCCAGAAAAAAAAAGTTATTTTTTTTTATAATGAAGTTGTGTTTATACAGAGACGGTGATTTAGAAAATAATGATCTGTATCAGCCAAGATCTGCTCAGAGAACTTTGTGAACATTTCACTCACAATTTTTGTTGTTTCCAACAAAATACACAGTTTAGCCTGGGAGAGATGTTTTACGAGACGTGGTTTTATGCAGTATGAGAAATCCTTCTGACGCAGTTTGAATCGCGCAACAACCATTGGCAGCAAAAAACATAGAGTTATGAGTCTGAAAGCTTAGTTAAGAGAGGACTCATTTCCAGTGTTGTCATAAAATGTTACCGAAAAGCTAAATGGGTGTTGCTGACGTCAGCCATTAGCAGCTGTTTCCATACTGCAAAATGTTACCAATTGTGATTCGTGATTCCCAGCCGACGAGTTTTCATAAACCAAAACGGTGATTGCACTCACGCCACAGCATTAAATAAAGGTACTTGGTGCTTCCAAATCCAGAGGTGGTGAACCCCCACCAATTATCTAAAGAATGTAAAGAGGGTGCAGGCACATAAAATATCTTAAAGTGCAGACTTTAACAGAAGCAATCCGCCTGATAACGTTTCTGCCTCCAACAGTGGCCTTCGTCACTTTGTCTAGTTTCCCATAGAGAATAATAGGAGACATTAAAAGAAGCTTTCTATGCTAGACTTACTATATCACTGAAAATAGATTGTAAGCTTGTGGGCTACCTAACTAATCCCATGAGCTTACAATCAATTAACTATGTATAAAAGAGCTTCAATGGTTAGATCTCAGCTTATGAGCAGGGCCCTCTTTAGCCTTGGTATTTTTCTGTGTATATTGTATGTTGTCCCCTAATTGTACAGCGCTGCAGAATATGTTGGCACTTTATAGATGCCAGTAATAAATAAATAAAAATAAAACCTGCCTCAGCTAGGTATAAAGACAAAACAGCACATTAAAAACTGCAAGCTTTCAATACATCCTGTAGGAAAAATACATGTTCACACCATCTATAAAAGTGTATGTGAATACAAAGGACTGATGTCATATAAGATATGTATCAGGTTCTGTAACTGTTCTGTGACAACCGTGCTCAGACTATGGCAGGTAGAGTGCACATACACAGCATGAGCCGTTTAAATCCTTAAATTGTGGTTGCTATGGTAGTGACTTAGAAATCACACCTTTACTGCTTTACATTCGCTAATAGGTGAACGCTGAGACACGCATGCTATCTGCAGGGTGGATATTTGTAGTGGTAGGCTGAAAAACACACACCTGAAGTTTGACAACCTAGTTCGTATTTTTGGGTGCAAATAGCTAGTAAGAGCGTCTTTACCTAATAACTGCTATATTTCACATACAGGCTTTCCTAATAACTGCTTTATTTAACATATAGGCTTTCCTAATAACTGCTTTATTTAACATATAGACTCTCCTAATAACTGATTTATTTAACATATAGGCTCTCTTAATAACTGCTTTATTTAACATATAGACTCTCCTAATAACTGCTTTATTTAACATATAGGCTTTCCTAATAACTGCTTTATTTAACATATAGGCTCTCCTAATAACTGCTTTATTTAACATATAGACTCTCCTAATAACTGCTTTATTTAACATATAGGCTTTCCTAATAACTGCTTTATTTAACATATAGGCTTTCCTAATAACTGCTTTATTTAACATACAGGCTCTCCTAATAATTGCTTTATTTAACATATAGGCTTCCTAATAACTGCTTACAATATATAGACCTCCTAATAACTGCTTTATTTAATATATAGGCTTTCAATAACTGCTTTATTTAAATATATAGGCTTTCCTAATAACTGATTTATTTAACATATAGGCTTTCCTAATAACTGCTTTATTTAAATATATAGGCTCCTAATAACTGCTTTATTTAAATATATAGGCTTTCCTAATAACTGATTTATTTAACATATAGGCTTTCCTAATAACTGCTTTATTTAAATATATAGGCTCTCCTAATAACTGCTTTATTTAACATATATAGGCTCTCCTAATAACTGCTTATTTAAATATATAGACTCCTAATAACTGCTTATTTAACATATAGGCTCTTAATAACTGCTTTATTTAACATATAGGCTTTCCTAATAACTGATTTATTTAACATATAGGCTTTCCTAATAACTGCTTTATTTAACATATAGGCTTTCCTAATAACTGCTTTATTTAACATATAGGCTCTCCTAATAACTGCTTTATTTAACATATAGGCTCTCCTAATAACTGCTTTATTTAACATATAGACTCTCCTAATAACTGCTTTATTTAACATATAGGCTTTCCTAATAACTGCTTTATTTAACATATAGGCTTTCCTAATAACTGATTTATTTAACATATAGGCTTTCCTAATAACTGCTTTATTTAACATATAGGCTCTCCTAATAACTGCTTTATTTAACATATAGGCTTTCCTAATAACTGATTTATTTAACATATAGGCTTTCCTAATAACTGCTTTATTTAACATATAGGCTCTCCTAATAACTGCTTTATTTAACATATAGGCTCTCCTAATAACTGCTTTATTTAACATATAGACTCTCCTAATAACTGCTTTATTTAACATATAGGCTTTCCTAATAACTGCTTTATTTAACATATAGGCTTTCCTAATAACTGATTTATTTAACATATAGGCTTTCCTAATAACTGCTTTATTTAACATATAGGCTTTCCTAATAACTGCTTTATTTAACATATAGGCTTTCCTAATAACTGATTTATTTAACATATAGGCTTTCCTAATAACTGCTTTATTTAACATATAGGCTCTCCTAATAACTGCTTTATTTAACATATAGGCTTTCCTAATAACTGATTTATTTAACATATAGGCTTTCCTAATAACTGCTTTATTTAACATATAGGCTCTCCTAATAACTGCTTTATTTAACATATAGGCTCTCCTAATAACTGCTTTATTTAACATATAGACTCTCCTAATAACTGCTTTATTTAACATATAGGCTTTCCTAATAACTGCTTTATTTAACATATAGGCTTTCCTAATAACTGATTTATTTAACATATAGGCTTTCCTAATAACTGCTTTATTTAACATATAGGCTTTCCTAATAACTGCTTTATTTAACATATAGGCTCTCCTAATAACTGCTTTATTTAACATATAGGCTCTCCTAATAACTGCTTTATTTAACATATAGGCTTTCCTAATAACTGCTTTATTTAACATATAAGCTCTCCTAATAACTGCTTTATTTAACATATAGACTCTCCTAATAACTGCTTTATTTAACATATAGGCTTTCCTAATAACTGATTTATTTAACATATAGGCTCTCCTAATAACTGCTTTATTTAACATATAGACTCTCCTAATAACTGATTTATTTAACATATAGGCTTTCCTAATAACTGCTTTATTTAACATATAGACTCTCCTAATAACTGCTTTATTTAACATATAGGCTTTCCTAATAACTGATTTATTTAACATACAGGCTCTCCTAATAACTGCTTTATTTAACATATAGGCTCTCCTAATAACTGCTTTATTTAACATATAGACTCTCATAATAATTCCTTTATTTAACATATAGACTCTCATAATAATTCCTTTATTTAACATATAGGCCATTTGTGATCATCATCGTGTGTGTTCAGTACTAGAAATATGTTAACTGACTGTCCTTTAATCTCTAATGCCAGACAGCTCTCAGATTTATCTCTTAATAAAATGTGCTATTTACTACGGTACTCGCACTGTGATGGTAACAGCCGTGCCAGCCTCACCCTCATACAGTCTCTCCTTTTGTGTTTTCATCTTAACTTTGGTAACTCTTTGGTATCTTGTTTTTTTGTCGCTTTCCCTCCTGCCATACTTTCCCATTCAAATTCCATTACCTTAATTAATGCTAGCAGCCAATGGGTTGGAAAATCATTTCCAGATGAAAGAATTAGACCAGCTTTTACCTGGCACAGCTTTTTCCATGCTAAAAACAATATAATGTGATCTGACTATAGTTTCTGCAAGCAGACACAGGAAGGTGATTTTAGAACCTTTTGGAGAGATGTAACAGTTTGAACCAGTTTAACAATGTTGTGGATTTAAGATTATGTATCTGTCATTCTTAGATCGCCATAAATGAACAGTCCTCAATTAAATTAAGCAATTTTTTTCAAAACATTTTAATACTATATGTAATTAAAATATATATATAGAATTTAAAATTGTGATGATCATTTAAGCAGTTAATGTGTTTTCCTAATAATAATAGACCTTTTCATAAACCTGACAATTAGGTGCTTGTTTTGTAGACTAAATCATGGAAGACCTTCTTCACAATGGTGCATTGGTCCCTTCGACGGCAGAATTCATGGGTGCAGCTGGCTGGGCACGAAGGTAGGATTGGAAAAAGAAAATGTGTTCCTTATTTTGATAGGTTTTACAGAAAGAAATGTATGATTTTCATACAACCGGTGTTACATACAGGCATGGAATAAAATATTAATACACCTCGATCCTAGTTTCTAAAGTTCAACGATGCATAAGAGGAAAATGCATAAATCCCTCTTGGTATGAAAATGACTACAAGATTTTTAAAATATGTACATCTCCTGTACATGTTGTGATCTGTAGTAGTGAAGTTCGTGATGGACCCAGCTTAATGTAGTTGTTCTGGTGTTTATACCATGTCCCTGAAGGCTTTTTAATGTAAACTCTGCCTTTTAATTGTGATTGGCTGAGATCATCAATTCTGATAATGGCAGCCAAGGAGGCTGTTCGAGGGCAGGGCCAGCACTCGCAGATTTAAACTGCTCTGGAAATAAGGTGAGTTTTTTGGTATTTAAGTGGGACATGGGGGGCCAGGGGGCTTGTGTGTTTTGTTTTTTTTACAATATAGGCTTAGGAATATACCTTTGTGTTCCTGACCCTATAGTGTTTCTTTATTGCTGAGGGGTTGATTTGGTGACTGGATATTAAATGTGTTTCCAGAATGTTTGTCTGAGCTAGGCTGCATAAAGTTTGGTAATTTTCTTGTAATGTTGACTGTACATCACCTTGCATTCATTCACCTGTGGGTTTGATGATGCAATGTTTAGAACTACTGAAATGTATTGTCTTTTTAAGTATCTCTTATTCTATCTTATGTATATGAAGGAGTGGAACATAGACTTAATGTTACTCTTATATCTTCAGACAGATGTCTTTCGTAAGTACTTATACTCATTTTTTGGTTCATTGGTATTCTGCTCTCTAGACCATTCCTTTGGCTATCTGGGGGACATGGGCTGCTATTGATCTTATCGATAATATTTATTAGTGTAGAATGTCTCCAGGGTGCCTGTGAAATTGTTGGCACTGATGGTGAGCAGGTACACCTAAATGGTTTCTCGGTTATTTTCTTGCCCATCACGATGTTTCTGCTGGTGGTGGTGATCATGAAGGTGGTAGGAAATGGTTATTGTTACCGGGGTATGTGTGTGGTTGGAGAGGTACTGAAAAGTGTTGTAGGTTGGACTAATGCCAGAAATGGTAATCTGCAGAAACCTCATCTGCTAGTTTTGTTGTCCAATAGAAGATATTCACACCTATTAATAGGTAAGCAACTGGTTTAGGTATTGTAAACATATCCAGCTTAAACAAAAAAGATGCATTTTGCTTATGAATTAGATTATGATCATATCTTTAGTTTTGTGTAACAAATAATTCATTGTGCTGAACTGTAATAGGATGTTGCCTGATGCAGCTCTTATAATGTAATACCGAATGGGTCACATGCTCATGGCAATATGGATCATAGCTAGAAATACTTAAAAATATGGTAGACCTAGCAACACAATTTTCTCATGAACCTGTTAATGAATGTTTGCTAAACCAAATTATTATTATTATATTTGCCCTCTTTGTCAGGTAACTTCAAGGCAAGTGAGCGAGGCCACATCTTGAAAAAGTTCAGTCCTGTGGAAAACGCTTGTCTGGAAGCACTAATGCAGGATGCCCTCAAGCCATATGTACCCACCTATCATGGCCAGGTGGAGAGAGAGGGTCAAAAGTATATCAAGATGGAGGACCTCCTGAAAGGACTGGAAGGGCCTAGCATTATGGACTGCAAAATGGGTATAAGGTGAGGACTATTCTGCAGTTATTCTTAAAGGAGCTCTATAGTGACATATATTCCTGTCACTATAGCTGTGGGAAAATTTTTTTTAGCTTCCCGCCCCCCCGTCAGCAAAGTAAAAGGTGATTTACTCACCTTTATTCTTGTTCCATGCGGGTCTCCTTGTGGCTGGCCCCGTCCCAGCTCTGCCTCCTTGGCTGATATCATCAAAGCAGTGGGAGGCAAACCGTCACGCTGTACCAATCAGCATCTCCTCATAGAGTTGCATTAAATCAATGCACATTGTGCAGAACTGACCCAGAAAACACATCTAGTGGCCGTCTGATTGAATGCACCTAGAGGAGTTCCTAGGCAGTAATGTAAACACTGCCTTTTCTCTTAAAAGGCAGTGTTTACATGAAAAGGCCTGCAGGGACATACTATATACACCAGAACAACTACATTAAGCTGTAGTTGTTCTGGTGACTATAGTGTCCCATTAAGCCATTTTGTCTGTGCCTGAAATATTTATGAATATCCTTTGAATCGGTTATTTTTCCAGGCAATATATGCCATTAATAACTCTTCAATTTCCTACAGTTAGGACAACAGGAAAGAGTGATCAGAAACCCACAGCCACACAATCCCATTTAATATTGAGATTTATGTCTGTTCTGTAGGACATACCTTGAGGAGGAACTTGAGAAGGCCCTACTGAAACCTACCCCACGCAAAGACATGTATAACAAGATGGTGAGTATTGATCCGTCTGCCCCCACAAGTGAGGAGAACGATCTGAGAGCCATCACCAAGCCTCGCTACATGCAGTGGAGGGAGACTGTAAGCTCCACAGCAGAGTTAGGTTTCCGTATCGAAGGTGTCACGGTGAGTGTTATCATTTTTCATTACATATTTATTATACATAATGGCCAGTATAAACAAATGTCCAGCTTGTAGCCTTATTGTTTGAAATTACTATTTGATATACATGTTTTCATTAGTTTGATGGGGTCCTATGGATCTTCTCCTACATGGTGGGATGGGACAAAAAAGTGACAAATTTATCTATTAAGAGCCTAATGATTAACTCTATTATTGTTCATCACGTATGACTTTTTCATTATGTCTTATGACTTGCATAAAACTCTCATTCTGTGTTCATACTTTCCATCAATGCGAAATGTCTGAAACACCCAGATGGTGATTTACCCCTCCCCCCCCCCCCAGGCTTGTCTCCTGGGTATTCTTAATGTTGTGAGTTTAAGGGTGTGGTGATGAATGATGTGCTTACACTTTGCTGTGCCTAACAGATTGAGGGAGGACCCGTTAAGAAAGACTTCAAGCAAATGAAAAGCCGAGAAAATATCATGGAGACATTCATCATATTTACCAAGGGACAGGAGAATATTTTGGTAAGGCACTCGATTTCACAGATAACCTCTGTCACTTGACAGTGCATACCCTGCGTTATAAACCTGTTGTCCTGCAGGCCTCGCACAAACACAAACCAGGTCATTCAGTAGAGTGTGATTTGTCTGAATTTCAAATGCTAGGCAAAAATAAATAAAGTGGAAAAAATCCTTAAAGCGGCACTGTCATGCCGAATCCCGTTTTTTTTTTAACCCCCCTCCCGCCTCCACTACATCCAATTGACCCACTAGTCACCCCCAAATGCCCCTAAGCCCCCCACATTACCTATTTTTAAATCCTTATTTTCTGCCCCGATCTTGATTCAGGGCGCCGCCATCTTTGTGTGGGTAGGTGAAGTCCCTCAGGGACACGTCATCAGCCCACACTAGGCAGACACTGAGATTCCCGCACATGCCCAGTGAAACACCTGGACATGCGAACGGGAATTTCATCTATTCATTCATTCATCAGACAGACGAATGAGTGAATAGAAATATCAGCCGAACAAACAAACACAATGTATCAGTGTTTGTTTGTTCGTTTAGTTTATTACAAGGAGGGAGCTACCGGCATGCAGCTCCCTCCTTGTAATATGTAACTATAGAAGCGGCAGGGAGCAGTGCTCCCCACCACTTCATAAGCCCCCCAGTACCCCCTCTCACTCTATGGGGGTCAATATGACCCCCATAATAGCACAAGGGAGATTAAAATCTCCCAAATGCCCCTACTCGCTATACCGCGAGTAGGGGCATGTCTACTAAACAGTGAGCAGCCTATGGCTGCTCACTGTTGAAAAAAAAGACATAAATTACAATAAGGGGGGGCGGACCTATTGTCCTCCCCCCCTCCCCCACCCTGAGCGGCGGGTGGGGGCCATGAAGATAATGAGGGGGGGACCTACTGTCCTCCCCCCCCCCGGCCCCCACCCCTGAGCGGTGGGTGGGGGCCCTAAATAAAGATATGGGGGGGAACTTCTGTCCTCCCCTGGCCCCCACCCCTGCGCAGTGGGTCGGGGCCCTAATAAAACAATAAGGGGGGGGGACCTACTGTCCCCCCCCCCTGGCCCTCACCCCTGCGCGGTGGGTGGGAGCCCTAATAAAACAATAAGGGGGGGACCTACTGTCCTCCCCCCCGGCCCCCACCCCTGTGCGGTGGGTGGGGGCCCTAATAA